AAAAAAAAAAAAAAAAAAAAATTATAGAACATTGAGCACACAAACCACCCTACAAACACTGACTCAAGAAAGTTATTTGGCTTCATCTTCTTCGCATGGGGCCAGAGTCCTTGCCACTTTCTCACATGCTGGAGGTAAGCAACAGGATGCCCCTGGTTGAGCTGCCTTCCTGTGGTTCTGGTTCACAACTCCTGGAATGGAGAAATGATTAATTGCTTTGGTGCACAGGGCAGACTGAATGTAAGAATGGTGGAAAAGGAAAGTAAGGGAAAACTTGTCAATAAAGTACTTTTTACTTATTCTTTATTAGTCACTGTTAAGAATCAGATCATGGGTCGTTGAGAATTTGTTATGTTCTAATTTGCAGAAACTAGTGTACATACACTGACTTTGCCTTGGCAGTATGCCAGTAATCTTCTGCCTTCTGGGAGGAAGTCCACAGACCCTCACAGTCAATTGAAAAAAGCTATCATAAAGTCCATGAATTTTACTCCTTTAGTTCATTCTCTGGCATACTATCCAGGCTTGTAGTGGGAGTATTGTTAGGTAACAGGAAATATCTTTCATATTTTACCTCCCTCTCTGTACCCATGTCTTTCTTCTCTTTTTCTGGTGACCTCTGTGTTGACCCTAAGCCTCATCTCTCCTGTCTAATGTTTTTATACATTTACATTCCTTGTTAATATTTATCTTTGTTGAGCATAATGATGGGCTTCTAATTAGTCATTCTAAGATATTTGTATATTTCAGAAGCACTGTTATAAAGGTTTCCTTTATTGAAGAATTTATAGGATATAGGTAGAAAGGAACTGGAAACTTTCTACCCTCATGGGCTATATTTAGGGATAAGGAGGAACCTTTCTGGTATGCCTTACCCATGGTATATTTATTTTATATTCAAACTTTGTCCATCTTCCTTCTAAAACCTTCAGAGGTGGCAAAGTGGGACTGGGCACAGTGGCTTACGCCTGTAATCCCACCACTTTGGAAGGCCAAGGTGGGTGGATCAGTTGAGGTCAGGAGTTTGAGACCAGCCTGGCCAACAAGGTGAAACCCCGTCTCTACTAAAAATACCGAAACTATTAGCCAGGCTTGGTGGTGCATGCCTGTAGTCCCAGCTACACGGGAGTCTGAGGCACGAGAATCCCTTGAACCTGAGAGGTGGAGGTTGCAGTGAGCCAAGATCATGCCACTGCACTCCAGCCTGGGTGACAGAGTGAGACTCCGTCTCAAAAAAAAAAAAGAGAGAGAGAGAGAGATGGCAGAGTGGGCAGCAGAGTGGGGCAGCAAAGTGGAGACAAAGGCACAGCCAGCAGCGGAACAATCTCTGCTCTGACTGTAAGCCCAGCTTGCATGTAAGATGCAATATCTTGAAGTGGAATCAGTCTAGAATTTCAGCCTTCTGGCACCATTTAAAGTAGGGGTAAGCCATACTATGTTTCACATTGGTCTTACTTTTAAAAGACAGTCTGTCTTTAAAAATTTGACTCGCTGGGCGCGGTGGCTCAAGCCTATAATCCCAGCACTTTGGGAGGCCGAGGTGGGTGGATCACGAGGTCAGGAGATCGAGACCATCCTGGTCAACATGGTGAAACCCCGTCTCTACTAAAAATACAAAAAATTAGCTGGGCATGGTGGCGCGTGCCTGTAATCCCAGCTACTCAGGAGGCTGAGGCAGGAGAATTGCCTGAACCCAGGAGGCGGAGGTTGCGGTGAGCCGAGATCGCGCCATTGCACTCCAGCCTGGGTAACAAGAGCGAAACTCCGTCTCAAAAAAAAAAAAAAAAAAAATACAAATAAAAAGATTTGACTCTACCTGAATGTCAAATTATATACAATGAATTGTTTTTCAAAGCAAAAAATGACATGTTTTACTATTTAAAAATTTCTGCCAGAAACAGGCGGGACGTGGTGGCTCATGCCTGTAATCCCAGCACTTTGGGAGGCAAGCCAAGGCAGGCAGATCACCCAAGGCCAGTAGTTCGAGACCAGCCTGGCCAACATAGTGAAACCCCATTTCCACTAAAAGTATGAAACATAGCCAGACGTGGTAGCAGGCACCCATAATCCCAGCTACTCAGGAGGCTGAAGCAGGAGAATTGCTTGAACCTGGGAGGTGGAGGTTTCAGTGAGCCGAGATTACACCACTGTACTCCAGTCTGGGTGCCAGAGCAAGACTCCATCTCAAAAAATAAATAAATAAATAAAAATAAAATTTCTACCAGAAACAGATTTTTTTAAAATGACTTTTAGTTGATACCTAAGTTTTTTGTTTTGGTTTGTTTTTTGAGATGGAGTTTCACTCTTATTGCTCAGGCTAGAGTACAGTGGCTCAATCTCAACTCACTCTAACCTTGATCTCCCAGGTTCAAGCGATTCTCCTGTCTCTGCCTCCCAAGTAGCTGGGATTATAGTCATGCACCACCATGCCTGGCTAATTTTATATTTTTAGTAGAGATGGGGTTTCTCCATGTTGGCCAGGCTCAAACTCCTGACCTCAGGTGATCTGCCCACCTTGGCCTCCCAAATTGCTGGGATTACAGGTGTGAGCCACCATGCCCGGCTGATACCGAAGTTTGAAGTGGAAGAATAGATATTTCCCAGTCATAGTGGTGTGTACTTCAGATACATTTATTTTCTTCATTTGCCTAGAAAATTCACTTATCCAGAACACTTTAATACCCAGTAATGCTGGGTAAAGGGAAACCTATTGGGAATTAATACTTTTTTTTTTCTTTTCGCTCCCATACTAGGTGGAGGAATTACTTCAAGAGTAATTTTTACTTCAAGAGTAAAATAGTTTGGCTGACGCTGCTTACCATTATACAAACTCAGGCTTCCTAACATTGCCACTTAATTAGGCTATGGGATTTTTCTTCACCTACTTTTCTTTTGCTCAGTTTGAAGTTTTTCTTTTCTCCTACACTTACTTGGTGGAAAAAGTGATCCTTTATATTAAAAACAGATGACAAAATGGTGATTACTCTTAATTTTTTTTTTATTCCGGGGCCAGAAAATTCTTACATAGAATCAAGTCAACATTAAAGACCTTTTTTTTTTTTTTTTTGAAATGGAGTCTTACTCTGTTGCCCAGGCTGGACTGTTCAATGGCGCAATGTTGGCTCACTGCAACCTCCGCCTCCCAGGTTCAAGTGATTCTCCTGCCTCAGCCTCCTGAGTAGCTGAAATTACCGGTGCACGCCACCATGCTTGGCTAATTTTTGTATTTTTAGTAAAGATGGAGTTTCACCGTGCTGGTCAGGCTGGACTCGAACTCCTGGCCTCATGATCCACCCACCTTGGCCTCCCAAACTGCTGGGATTATAGGTGTGAGCCACTGCGCCTGACCAAAAGACTTCTTCTTATGAGTGCAAGTTATTTCTCCTTTAACAAAAATACTTGTCTTTAGTGTTCCACGTGACTAAATAGGATCTGGCATATAAGCCTGACTAGAACCATACCTTCATACTCATTTTAAGTTGAATCTGCACACTTTTTTTTTTCTTTGCCTTTAGTATGAAAAGACACAGACTGTACTCTCAGAACTGAAGTTGAAGTTTGAAAAGACTGAGCAGGAAAAGCAGTCAATCACAGATGAGCTCAAACAATGTAAAAACAACCTGAAGCTGCTCCGAGAGAAAGGAAATAATGTAAGTCTTTGCAAACTTGGCTTAGCTTTGATTGAGAGGCAGATGAGAGATTGAAATTGATTTTCAGAGGACTTTATCACTGATTTTGTGAAGCAAATGGTACAAATGAAATAAGCTTTCAATTACGAAATTCCATGACAGAATCATTATGCTGTCAAATTTTTGAAAAAGAATTTGTACCTTTAACCTATACCCCAAGAGCCTCGGGACTGCCTGGAGGAAGAGCCTTGTTTGCAATAAAGCAGCTTGCCTAAGAACTGTCAGCTTTTCCCAGATGAGTCTGAAGCTCTGTCACTAAGCCATTGTCTGGCTCTTGTTTATGCCCTGCTGGGAAATGAAGCACTATACTACCAGCGACCCATTTAAGAGACGGTAGTACATGTTGATAATTAGCATTTGGCTATATCAAAAAAATCAAGACTTATTAATGGTTTTCATTATATACCAATAATGTTCTCACTGAGGCACAATTTCTAAAAAGCATAGTGTCTCTTTTGCGTTCTGTAAGTATTAGAAAATATTTGGTGAGTTTCTGTAGGGCTGTGAGAGAGAAAGAGACAGATGAAGATTTTGGTATAAATTGAGTTTAATTTTTTTTGTTTTTCATTTGCTAGAAAGATGGTCTTTAAAAAGATGTTATACTAAATTAATGTTGTGTTGTACGTTTTGGTGATCATTACCTTTGTGGGCCCTAACTGATAGATGTTTGGCGTGGTTGGTTGTGCTCTCACTTATTTGAAACTGCTGTCATGGCTTGGACACTGCAGTGTGCGTGAGCCACATGCTTCCTACGGAGGAAGCCACTCTGCTTACCCTGCAGCACAAGTACAAAAGAATGATGTTGCATGGCCATCCTGTTATTCATTTGCACACAGAATGCTCATGAGTTGTGTCCAGTTGTCCTTTGCAGTTTGTAGACAATAAAGGCTTGCTGTTTAGGTAGAAGCCTTTTACAAGTTGATAAACTGGGTGTGGAGGCTTTATGCTAAGCAAAAATGGCTTGCATTTACTTTTCAAAATGTAGATTACAAACTCTTCTAAAATCAGATCATAATGGTTTGGTTACTTCTCTCTTTTGTATTAATTCATATCCCTGGGATTATGGAATTTCAGTCTACTGCTAAATTAACCCATGAAGACATCTAGCATAATCAGAATGGATCCCCCTGTACTATTTAGAACCTTTTCAAAAGTAACTTTGCAGCCAGGCGCAGTGGCTCATGCCTGTAATCCCAGCACTTTGGGAGGCCAAGGCAGGAGGATCACTTGAGGTTAGGAGTTCAAGACCAGACGGAGTTCACTCTTGTCCAGGCTGGAGTAAAATGGCATTATCTTGGCTCACCGCAACCTTCACCTCCTGGGTTCAAATGATTCTCCTGCCTCAGCCTCCTGGGTAGCTGGGATTATAGGCATGCGCCACCACGCACGGCTAATTTTGTATTTTTAATAGAGATGGAGTTTCTCCATGTTGGTCAGGCTGGTCTCGAACTCCTGACCTCAGGTGATCCACCCACCTCAGCCTCCCAAAGTGCTGGGATTACAGGCATGAGCCGCCGCACCCAGCCCTGCCTGTCTTTATATACCAAACCTTTATCATATATTGTCACATTTCTTGCCTGATTTAGGAAACATGCATTATCACAGGGCACTTATTTTTAAGCTGGAAAGTAGTATAATCTAACAAGCAAAAGAGCTTTGGTTGAAAAAAAGAAAAGATTTTGTTAGAGGGATAAAATAACCCTTAACCATTGCTGAGGGAGTACATTGTGAAATAATGGGTTTCAGGTATTGAGCAAAAATGTGTACTATTCAAGCAGAGAGCATCAGCTAGCAGTGCAGTGTTGGTCATTATTTGTTTTTTTTTTGGAGACCAGGTCTTGCTCTGTCACCCAGGCTGGAGTGCAGTGGCATGATCTCAACTCACTATAGCCTTGACCTCCCCGGCTCAAGTGATCCTCCGACCTCAGCTTCCCAAGTAGCTAGAATTACAGACGTGCACCACCATGCCCAACTCATTTATTTTTTGTAGGGACGGGGTTTTGCCATGTGGCGCAGGCTGGTCTCAAACTCCTGGCCTTAAGCAATCTGCCCACCTCAGCTTCCCAAAGTGCTGGGATTACAGGCATAAGCCACCATGCCTGGCTTGCTCTGTCTGCATGTGCTACATTTCATTAGAATGTTAGGTATACCCACATTGCCCGTTGCCTTCAGCTGTTCCTTTTTTTCTTTCTTTGAAATGGAGTCTCTCTCTGTCACCCAAGCTGGATTACAGTGGCATGATCTCAGCTCACTGTAACCTCAGCCTCCTGGTTCAAGTGATTCTCCTACCTTAGCCTCCCGAGTAGCTGGGATTACAGGTGTGTACCACCATGACCGGCTAACTTTTGTATTTTTAGTAGAGACAGCATTTCACCATGTTGGCCAGGCCAGTCTCAAACTCCTGACCTCAGGTGATCCACCTGCCTCAGCCTCCCAAGGTGCTGGGATTACAGGCATGAGCCACCACACCCAGCCTAGCTGTTCCTTTTAAACTGATAGTTTCCCAACTTGCATACCCCAGTCTATCGTTCAGGATTGTGTTAGATGTCTTTAAAATGTTTGAATCTGTGCAAAACCTGAATGGTATACTTCTATTGCTTCAGTCTTTCTTCCCTGCCTCCCACCCCACTGGGGTCTGAATCCTCTTATTTGATTATATTCATAGCATAAAATGATTTTAATATGCCTTCCCTTCTTTAGCCTTCCATATTACAACCCGTCCCAGCCGTATTCATCGGCCTATTCCTGGCTTTCCTGTTTTGGTGTTTCGGTCCATTGTGGTAGAGAAAGGTACAAGCACTACCGTTGAGTCCTTGTCTGTTTGTCCCCGTCACCTGTTTGTGCCGTATTTGTAATATAGTGCATGGCAAAAACACACAGGTATTTTGTTACCTGAAGCAAACCCTTCATTTAGTATGCTGTGTATTTGTGTCATACCAGTGAATTCAACAGTCAACTAATCCCATAACTTTTTGTCTTGTTTACTTTGTAGTAATGCTAACCATGAGTTAATTCCAACCTAACCAGTTGTTAATATGCTTCTTTTAACTGTCTTGATCTGTAGCAAACTGGAGTACACTATGAATTTCTGCAATATTAGTACCCTCTTTCCAATTATGTGTTTAATCAGATTTAAATGAGAAATGAAGAGTTTGCCTCTTTCAAGTTTTCAGCCAGCTTTCTTCCCCTTCCTCCTTATCCTCTTCCTTTTCATAGTGTAGATTTTCTTTGTTTCAACCCTTTCCCTATTTATGCTATGGCTATGGAGATGAAAAAAAATGAGATTAGCCTAATGAACCATTGGCTTACAATCTCAACCCTATTATGTACTTGCAAGGATATAAACGTATCCCATTTCTTTCTGAGCCCTGACCTGCAACATCAGAATATTTCTTTAAAAACCAGTTTTTCTCTGCCATAGCTAAAAAAAAAAAAAAAAGAAAAAGAAGAAGAAAAAAAGAAAAACCAGTTTTTCTCAATAACACTCTTGGAATACAAGTAAAAATAAAAATGTCAACCAAAGCAAGCTAATCTTATAAAGCCCTCTTAAAGTTAGCAGGCAACAGCCCGTCCATGCTTGCCTCTAACTGGCATGCATGTTGGTAGAGCATATGAGATGATCATGTGGCTTTATTACACTGAACAGAGTCTTTACCAGAATTATCATACAGGCAGGATCTCTAATGTTACTTCTCCATCTTGAACCCTATTTGATTTTGTCTTCTGTGGTTTCAAGTTAGAGGACCAAAGCCTTGTCACCTTAGCCACTATCATCCCCTTGAATAAAATATCCCAACATGGAGTCTGGCTCTAATCAAGAAATAAACATTTTAGGCAGAAACATACTACAGGTATCTATATACATCAGTTATATTGGAATATATGGATACCAGAGTAAATAAAGCAGGCAGAGCCCACAGGTTTTCTTAGAAGTCACTATTAGGTTTCAACTGTAACAAAGTTGAAAACTTCCCGGGACTTTCTTGTGATATGTTAGACTTCCAAATTGGTGGTCCTGCTATTATGGCTCTCCTTATACCTACACTCTCTCACTTTTTTTTTTTTTAACTTTATTTTTATGATGCAAAAATAAGATTTTTCCAGTATTCTGTTAAATATTCAGGACTCTCTGACACCAAGGGGTTAATAGGTATGAAAAGAGAGGAGAGAATGTGATATTGACTCTTGGTTTCTTTCCACACAGAAACCCTGGCCCTGGATGCCCATGTTGGCTGCCCTGGTTGCAGTAACAGCCATTGTGCTGTATGTGCCAGGTCTGGCCAGAGCTTCTCCATGAGAGCGTTCCTTGAGTCCGTACACCGTCCTCCCTCTAGAAGCTGGCATCATACTCATGCTGGGGACAAACAGAACCATTTTCTTCCTTTTTACCTCTTTTAAAACAGCAGAAGTACAAGAATACAGCTGTAGGGTCATTGCTTTAAATTATATAAAATGTATCTGTCTATAAAGAAGATATAAAATTGTGACTTTACTGTAAGCAATAATTTGCTTGCAATTTTTCATGTAATTTTTAAATTAGTATGTTGAGATTCTGAATATTATGGTGGCCTAAAGTAGGCTTCTTGGTACACCAGATTATTTATAGCATTAAATTTATGAGTATTTTACTCTGAAGTCTGATGACCAGATAATTCATTTTTCTGATTTGATAATTACCCAAACCAAACAACCAGTACATACATGGGAAGAGAGGCCCTGTGTGCTCAGTGCCTATCAGTTTGAAATATATACACATATATATATATTTTTTACATATTTACGCCATTTTTACTTGTTATAAAACCACTGAGCTATTGGGAACAAGACTTAGAGAAAACTAATTGCGTGGATTTTTTTTTTTTTAAAGGAAAAATACATTTGGAAAATAAACTGTTATGGTGATAATTTGGGGAATATGTGCACGCTTGTTCAGCCTTAATGAGACTTGAAGATGTGGAGGACATCAACTTTGAAAAACTTTCCATGAGAGTGTGTATTTTCTTGAGCAAACTGAAGTATTTCTGGGAGCAAAAACATAGTAATTACACAATTTCAGTGCAGTCAACCAAACTGTTGAGTCAATTGGAATGTAATTTATTAAACCTCATGTATTTAAAGAGATATTTTTCTTTAAAAGCCAAGTTACTTTCTCATATACAGCATTTTAGGAAGCATGATTTTTTTTCTATCATCTATTCCTCCAAGCATGTTTAATTGAAGAAAGTATTAATATCTCTTTCGATAAGCTTGTATTGACCTAATTTGGTTTATGATGTGTCAGAGCTAATTCATGTTCAGGGTGAGCTGTTGTACCTACCAACAGATTTCCTGGTTGGGTATGCAAATGGTTATTTTCTTTTTATTGTTGTTAATTGGGACTTTCTGTTAATGAAAAGCACTATTCCCAAGATTAATAGTGTTCTATGCACAATGAAGCACCTAAAAACACTGCTTGATATTATAAATTTAAAACACAGAAGTGAAAGTTTAGCCATGGTTTTGTGTGACATCATAGTTATGTCAGTAAGGGTTATTTAGGTCATAGAATATCCTAAAGTATCACATAGTTAAATTTTTCAGTCAATGAAGACTGGGAGGGAATGTCAGTGAATTGGCTTGAATGTTCTGTGGCAATCCGCAAGTCTAGCCAAATATTGAAATAGGAGTTTAGGGTATAATTTGCCTTGTGATGTTTGGCAGTCACTGTTTATACTTTAAAGGTTATATTTTAAGCTATTAGGGATTACTGTTGGGAGGATCACTAGATTTATGGAGGAATTAGTCACAAATGACTTGTAGAGAATACTGTCATATAGTTCATTTCATCATTTTCTGTTGCAGGAAGCCACTCCACCACAGAATGCTAATATGCCAGTGGTACCCAGTACCTCTTGTATATAGGTTATTGCAAATATTGTTCTGAAATGCTTAACTTCAGAATTACATTTTTTAAAGTAAATAATTGTTTTAAATCTATTTTGTAAAGATATAAAGTACAATAGAATTTCTGGAGTACAGATTAAACTATTTGCACTAACACACGTGATGTGCATGATTTAATAAAATAACTACTCTCCCTACGCATGTTTGAGTTGAATATCATTGAAGTTCTTAATGCTGACTCTACTATTGGATTGTTAATAGTCTTCTCTTAAAATGACTCTTTATGCAACATAACCTACATTTGGTATTTTTCAGGGTTTAAAAGAAAACAGCTATTTCCTCCAAGTTTTATTAGCCTTTTATTTAACTTACTGCTCCATTTTTTTTTCTCTTTTAATATGGTTATTGTTAAAAAGAAAGTCACTTGCCAGTCCAGTCTCTTTAAATGTAAGGTCTAGTATCAATATTTACTTCAAGTGGAATAAATGGCTTTTTGTAGTTACTTCCAGTTTTCCTCAAGAATATAAATAAGTCTATTTATAAGCAATATCTTCAGTTTTGTTCAGTTCACTTCCAGGTTAAATAAAGAGTAGGATTATTCACTGGTAATAATAGAATCATTAAGAAATGTTAAACATAGGCCGGGCGCGGTGGCTCAAGCCTGTAATCCCAGCACTTTGGGAGGCCGAGGCGGGTGGATCACGAGGTCAAGAGATCGAGACCATCCTGGTCAACACGGTGAAACCCCGTCTCTACTAAAACTACAAAAAATTAGCTGGGCATGGTGGCGCGTACCTGTAATCCCAGCTACTCAGGAGGCTGAGGCAGGAGAATTGCCTGAACCCAGGAGGCGGAGGTTGCGGTGAGCCGAGATCGCACCATTGCACTCCAGCCTGGGTAACAAGAGCGAAACTCCGTCTCAAAAAAAAAAAAAGAAATGTTAAACATTGCAGCTAGAAATTGAACAACCCTATAGTGATACATTTAAGAATTATTCAAAGGTGCTACATGGCAGGATCAGAAAATAAAAAGAACTTGGTATTTGAAGCAAAACATCTGTATTGGCATCTTGGTTCTACCGTTTATCAGCTGTTGTTGTCTTGCACAAATCACATTTTGTCTGAGTCTCCATTTTCTCATAACATGGGGAGAATAATACTTACATTTGTGGTAGTAGTGTGAACCTTAAAAAGATAATGTATGTGAAGTACCAGTCAAGTGGTGAATAAGTTTTTATGAGAATGTTATACTGAAAAATACAGCAAATATTAAAGTTTTAGGTGAACCAGTATATCTACTTTAATTAAATGAATTAATTGACTCACCCATTAAGAATTTCTGTGTGTGAATGAGATATGTGTGTAACATGAATTCTGAGAAAGTATTATCACCTAGCCCTGTTTGTCGCCTTCATAGTTCACTCTTTTGGAAGTAATATGCTTGGTTTGGTGATGAACCAATTGCTCACAGTAGTTTTGGAATTCCTGTTATTGCCTTCAGAGCCACTTTGAGTCACATGTGAAAACCATTCACATTGTCCTACAGGCAGAGGCTTTCAACCAAAACTAGTATTGCCTACTTGATCTCTCACTTTAATCACTACACTTGACCAAAACCCAGTGACTCTTGGCTGCTTCCATTGACTATTTACTATCAAAAGGATGGGAATCTGCTACCAAAGAGAAAAAACTGCATACAAATCAACTGATTTAAAACTGCAGCCTCGGCCAGCACAGTGGCTCATGCCTGTGATCTCAGCACTTTGGGAGGCTGACGCAGGTGGATCACCTGAGGTCAGGAGTTCCAGACCAGCCTGGCCAACATGGTGAAACCCCGTCTCTACTAAAAATACAAAAATTAGCCGAGCGTGATGGCAGGTGCCTGTAATTCCAGCTACTGAGGAGGCTGAGGCAGGAGAATTGCTTGAACCTGGGAGGCAGAGGTTACAGTGAGCCCACATCACGCCACTGCATTCCAGCCTGGGCAACTAGAGCGAAACTCTTTGTATGATTGTGGGTAAATGTAAATTCCTTTCACCTTGATTTTTTGTTGTTGTTTTGTTTTGTTTTTGAGGCTGGTCTTTAACTCCTGGCCTCAAGTGTTCTACCTGCCTCAGCCTCCCAAAGTGCTGGGATTACAGGCGTGAGCCACCATGCCTGGCCTATTTCTTTTTCTGCTATTCTGTGTTGTGTCTCCAGGTTTCATTTATTCATTCATTTAACAAATACTGTCTGATATGAGGCACTGTGCCAGATCCTGACAATATTCAGTCCCTATCTTCATAGAGCTTTTGGTGTGATGGGGAAATACAGGCAAGAAAGCTGGCAGTTAATATACAGTGTAATAGAAGAAGACACTGAAGCCTATGGAACTATAGAAGCATTGGGTGCATTTCTTCTCACCTTCAACCACTCAAACATCCAAGCTGGGGGTATCTGGCTACACAGCCAAAGGTAAGTTTCCTTCTAGATTGTCTAAGAAACAGGTTTGGTCTTGATTTTCTTTAAAACGGCATTGTGACCTGGAAACATTTTTAAGGCTTTGTGTGTATTCTCCTGGAATTCTGCCCTGTTAAATGGTTTGAACTGTACCTTGCAAGTAACAGGTAACTAGTAAAGGATTTTTCTTAAGCTAAGAAAAAGTGTTTTAGCCAGACAGGCTCTTTGAAAGGAGTCTCCTGTTGATGAGCTGGGGCATGAATTGGATAGATCCAATAACAAATTCCTTACATATGGAGGCAAGTGCCCACCATGTCTTATTGTTTTTGTTTGTGTTTATTGTGCTGCTCATTCAGTAGATTGAGCAGCACAGGTTTTTTTCCTAAAGATTAAGCACCTCGGCCGGGCACGTTGGCTCATGTCTGTAATCCCAGCACTTAGGAGGCCAAAGCGGGCAAATCACCTGAGGTCGGGAGTTTGAGACCAGCCTGACCAACATGGAGAAACCCCATCTCTACTGAAAATGCAAAATAAGGTAGGTGTGGTGGTACATCCCTGTAATCCCAGCTGCTCAGGATGCTGAGGCAGGAGAATCGCTTAAACCCAGGATCATGCCATTGCACTCTAGCGTGGGCAACAAGAACAAAACTCCATCTAAAAAAAAAAGATTAAGCCCCTTTCAGCCCAAATCTTAAAATATGTGATTTGTTACCATCATGCAAGGACACTGAGATAAAACCTATAAAGCCTATGAAAAAGACACGAGCATTACGAATAAGAAAGGCAAAGGGACCAGAGGAGGGAAAAAGGAACAGAGAAACTTGGTTGTGTTCCTGCTGCTCACAGTGGCTGTTCACTTCACTTTTTCATTTTCACCTTTTGAACCGACCAGAGAATATCTAGGTAGCTAGTTCTACTCTATGAAATTTCATCCTAGGATTTTTCTTTTTTTTTTTTTTCTTTTAAAGACAGGGTTTCACCATGTTGGCCAGGCTGGTCTTGAACTCCTGACCTCAGGTGATCCGCCTGCCTCGGCCTCCCAAAGTGCTGAGATTACAGCCGTGAGCCACCACGCACAGCCAGGATTTTTCTTCATCCTAAATTTTGTGTATTTACTTATCCCATCAGCATCTTGTTCCACATAGAATTGGAAGCAGGTGTGCCTGCTTGGAACAGCATTCTTTTCCCTCTTAAATGGCAGGATCCCTTCCTAGACTGAGGATTCTTCCTCATGGCTGATTCTACAAGCAAACAATGGAGGAGCTGCAAAGGGACTAAAAATCTCAATCATTTCAACTCTTTGACTCTCAGGCTTCTGCCATAAATTACTTCACTGTGTAATCTTTGCATAGTTATGTCATTTTGGTTTGGGTTGAAAACTTGCTCTGAGATAATTAGACCATACTTATTTAGCCTCCTCCACAACCCCTCCTCCTGCACTCCATAGCTAATCTTCAAAGAGTTAATGTGTTTTAAATATCTTAAACCAAATTTATTTTTTATTTATTTTTTATTTTTAGAGAATGAGCCTTGTTCTATTGATTAAGCTAGTCCTGAACTCCTGGCCTCAAGTGATTCTCTTGCCTCTGGTTGCCAAAGTACTGGGATTATAGGTGTGAACCACCATGCAGGGCCTTATTTTCTTTAAATAGTGTTTATAGAGCTGATTACATTTTCTTGTACAAAGTAAATTTGGTATGGTTTTTTAGTTGAGCATTCTAATTTAGCACTCTATGTACCTAATCACATTTTTTAAAAATCCATAAGCGTTTATTCAGTCATGCAACTTTGGCAAATAAAGTTCTTATTTTAAATACTTCTAAATTTTCTAAATTTTAAATACTTTTGCCAAAATTAGGTGGTAAATACATATGTGCTATGTGCACATATTGCCCTTTTTATCAGTGAAGATGGGTAAGTACTGTGATGTCACCTGGAATAAATAGAACCTTCTGGCTGCTTAAGTCCTCTGTCTTTGAATACCTAAAAAAAATACAAAAAAATTAGTCGGATGTGGTGGCACACACCTGTAATTCCAGCTACTTTGGAGGCTGAGGCCTAAGAATCCCTTGAACCGGGGAGGCAGAGGTTGCAGCCTAGATCTCACCACTGCACTCCAGGCTGGGTGACAGAGCAAGACCCCGTCTCAAAAAATAATAATAATTGTGCAGAAGATATTCAGGGAATGAAAATAAAAGAAAAAAGATTTAAAAAGATAATAACGATAGTAATACAGTAAAATAAAATATATTTATTTTTCTGGCCTCATTTTATAGCAAAGTCCTCAAAATCCCAGCAACTCTGGAGGCTAAAGTGGGAGGGTTGCTTGAGCCCAGGAGTTTGAGAACAGCCTGAGCAACATAGTGAGACCTCCATCTCTAAAAACATTAAAAGTAAAGTAGCCAGGTTTAGTGGCTCATGCCTGTGGTCTCAGCTGCTCAGGGGGTTAAGGCAGGAGGATCACTTGAGCCCAGGAGTTTAAAACTGCAGTGAGCTATACTTGCACAGGGTCTCTAAAATATAAAATATTTTTTTAAATTAAAAAAAATAGTTATCCATTGCTATGTAACAGATTACCCCCAAAACTTTAGCAGTTTAAAACAGTAAATAGGCCTCGGGCGGTGGCTCATGCCTGTAATCCCAGCACTTTGGGAGGCTGAGCTGGGCAGATCACCTGAGTTCAGGAGTTCAAGACCAGCCTGGTCAACATGGTGAAACCCCATCTCTACTAAAAATACAAAAATTAGCCAGGTGTGGTG